GCAGTCCAGTCTAACACTTGCAGTTAAAACATTGCTGACTGACTTAACACTGAACTTGCCCTGCCTAGTAAACCAAAAGTATGGAGAAATAGGTGGGGGAAAAAAAAAAGCAGAATTTGTCAAAATAAGCTTTTAGAACTCTTACCCTACCCCAACCAACAATTAGAAAGGATTCATATGCAATATCAGCTTGATGTTCAGAAGAAACTTGGATTCAAAGGCAAATGACAGCTTCATTTAATGAAAAATTTGCCAGAATTTTCATGTAATAGAAGTGTTTACTGGCCAGCTGTAGTGGAAATCCATAGCCCTTGAGCTGCTCCAAAGACTGCAGGGTAATCAGAAAATTGGCACAAAAGAGAGCATTTCAAACTTTTTCAGCTCTTTCATGGCATGTGTTAAGAGGCAAGATAATAGTAAAAAAATAAACATCATTTTCCTTCTAGGATACCCAAGTCTGTAGGACTTCCAACAGTTACATAGTGACAGCTGGTTTTAGAACTGACAGCAAGATGTCTTACCTAACTAGCTCTGGACAGAGAAACGATTCTTGTGGGCTTAAGTGACAGCCCTGCCCATCATCTTGAGAGGATCAGATCAAAACCAACTGTCCATTCCACTGAAAAAAGGCTCCTTTGGAGAAGTATCTGCCAGCAGCCAGGAAGAACCTGAAGAAAACTAGACTGTCCGATGATTAAAGATGTACTTGTTCACTGTTCCCACTGTGAATAGGACTCAGAAACCCATAATGGTCAAGGAAACTGCCTGAAGTAGCTCAAAAGGACTTTTGAGAGGCGAGGTGAATTAGATTGGAAGCGCGCACCTTCAAGAGCAGGTGCTTTACTCTGAATTGCAGTGAGATACCCAACTCCGTTGAAGGTTTTAAACCTTTCTTGAGCTTGGCTCCTCTAGGAGACTCTCACAAAACAGCAACCGCCACCACTTTCCTAACCTCATCTGACTGGTCTAGCGCAGACCTTCCCAACACGCCCCTTGGTTAAGGCATCTGCTCCATGGCACGCCACAGCCCAAACCACGCTTGGCCTGCCTGAAGTCTCCTCCGCGCAGACTGGCCAGGGTTGCTACTCCTGGCAGAGGAGGATGCGCTGCTTCTAAGCTATAGCATAAGCAAGCTGCTTTTTCTCTGCCCACGATACACTTCTTTTCTGAGACTCACCAAGCAGATAGGCTGCCTTTCAGGACTAATACATCTGTAACTTGAGTTTAAATCAGGCTTCAGCATGCAATAGCTACCAAGATAATATTAGCTTTGAAATATGCAATAGAAGAACTTCAGATATATATTACCTGATGGGATAAAGTATCTTCATTATTTGCAGGGGCTTTTATCATCGTTCTGTTAGATTCAGGTATATATGAAAAAAAAAAGGTCTAGATTAGATTGCAGCATTTAAAGCAAGTTGGGCTTTCACATAAAACCTGCAATATTTTTTTCAGTCTCAGGTGCCAGTGTCAAAGACTTGCAGAGCTACTGGAAATGAGACCTCTTAGTAAAAGCAATAGGTATGCACGTAAGAGGGAGAGAGAACTCGAAGCCCTTAACTTGCTGGTGTGGCGATGGCTGCAGTTTTGTCCCAGTTAGGCTGGCTGGGTTTTAGGGGAGACCGAACAGGGTGCAGTTCAGCCCAGCTGAGTCTAAAGAATAAAAACCCAGATTAAGACTTTCAGAATCAGATCTGTTGCAGTCAGAAATGGTACAAGCCACAAGTGCCAAACTGCTCACTTGTAAGTATGAATTCAGACAAACTGTAGTAGTTTCCTTCAAGCTGAAGTTAGAGCCTTTTACATGAAGAAAAAGTCTTCACAGTTAGAAAGCATCATCATCTTTACAAAGCCCCACTTCAGCTCTACGAGAACATCCAAACCAGAAAATCATTAGATAAATTCAAGGAAAGATGGAGCATTTCACTTGCTGCCCTTCTGTACCAGTTTCAGGACTTGTCAGTACCACATTACTGTTTCTGGATGTGCAGATTAGTTAACGCTTGGCAGGAAAATGTACAACTAGTTAAATAAGGAGGTATTATAATTTGCTTTTTAGCAATGAACAGGTATGAACGTACAACAGCATGCAGAAGACTACACTTAAAGAGTTTGTACTTATCATGGCTGGTAATGAGCTGTATTTGGATTCAGGCAGCTTACATGACAGAATCAAGTAATAGACAGCAACCAGAGGACACCTGTATTAATCTTGTGTACTATATTCCAGACCTGCCAGGATCCCAGAGTCCAAAAAAACCCACAGTAACTGCAAGCAATAGCAAGATTGTCTTATAATATAGACAGCAAATATTATTAGAGTGCTCATTTTGCTTTCAAAACAGCAAGCTTTCCATTAGGTGTATTTTTTGGTTTGCTTTGAAGTTTGATTAAATGACTATTTTGTCAAGATTAATCAACCTGCACCATGAGACAATGATCAAGAAACACTCTTGCTTTGACACCATTTCTTTTAAATAGCTTATGGGGACCTTTTGAAGTAATGCAGGTTCATCAGGAGCAAAACTGAAGGGCAAAAAAAGCAAGAACTTAGAAGTGCACAGCATTTCCGTAAGCTTCAGGAAAACAAAATGTAACCCACGCTGAATTCAGATGTAGCATAAATTTTCACAAAGAGGAAGCAGTTTCCTGTGTAGTTACATACACTGCTATCAACTTCCAAAGTGTTTGTTGCCCAGATTTTTTTTTTTTTTTCCACAAAGTTAGATGTACTTCGTGACAGTTAATACACATCTTGAAGGTGAACTGGTTTAACAGCATTTAATTTTCATTTTCACTTCACTAGTGAGCTTCATCCCTTCGAGAAAAGGAACTCAACACTAAGAAGCAACGTAAGAGCTCTCTACTTACCTTTCTGATTTCATATTAGCGTCCTATGTGCGTCTTCAGCAATTACCATTGATCTTCTATGAAAACAGATGCAAAACCACAAAATCTGGGCTTGGTTAAAAGAGGTGGTGAAGTGCTAAATACCAGATAACATCAGATCTTTTCTCATGTACGTTTTAACAACAAATTAGCCGGAGTATTTAAAAGAGGTAATTTTAGATGCACCCAGGTATATCTGAGGCACACTGCTAATCTTCTTAGGAACTGAATTATTTCTACATTTGAGCAACTTCATGTATTACACAAGCAAGCGCAGCAGCATCTTCACCAGAAACTTTCAGAATTCATATTCCCCACTACAAGGGCCATCAGCATAAACACCAGCATCCCCGCATTAGAGATATTTATCTGGACCACTTTCAGAATCCAAAATTTTCTTTCTGTAACACCACAACATACACTTCCTACTTTAGCCATTATTCCAGATGAACAATTACATAAGGGTCCCAGCTTTCTCCTCTGCCTTGGAAAAAAGTATTCTTGATTTAGCCAGCAGAAATTCAAGCAGTACTTTTCAAGATCAATTAGTAGTGTTAAGAGTTACCATTTCACGTGCACTTTGTTCTGCGACTTCAGTGCATGCTTAAGTGAAGTTTGTTTTTTAATACTAGGGAGCATCACCATTTTAGGTAGATATTAGATGTTGATACAATTCCCAGCCCAAGGCTTCCAACCAGTTCTCGCAAGAAGAAAATTTAAGAATCATCGAGCCGTAACACGTAGAAAAAGGAGTAAAATGCACAGAGGAGGATTTATGACACTTGTCTCCAGCAGCTGGCCTGATCATTCTCCACCAGTAGCCATGATCCAGCCCCCTCAAGAAGTCTATCTTTACAACCTCAGATTAGCCACTGGGCCTGGAAAGCAAGACTGGGAACAGCAGTTTCCTGCAAGAGCTGTTTGCTTACTGTGGTACAGGTCTCCCCAGTGAAGCTAGTCCACTTCATAGACCTACAATTTTAGAGCAAAAATTCAAAACACCGGCTTTACGCTCCCCTGCCATATGTTAACTCGTATTACTTGCAAATGCTAAACCCTATTAAGCAATCAGATCATAACTGTGGAAACAGGCTCGGTATTTTACGTAGCTTATAATATTTAGAGTCCTGCGCATTGATTCATACCATCTGGCCCGACAGCACCCAGGCTTTCTTTATGCCAAGCGCACTGCATCCAGCCCTCCAGCCCCGGCTGCCACAGCCCTCCAGTGGGGATGCAGGAGGGAGTTTTGATAGCATTCATCCATCGTAGCTTGCTGTTGCTCATCTGCCTTCTGGGTCGCTCTCAGCTCAGCACAACTGCTTTTCAGTCAGTCTTGGCCAGAGAGTGCCACAGCACAGGCAGCCTCAAGGAAGAACACTGCTGAGCAGGAACACTAGGTGTGAGCTTTGGTACACCAGGTACACCCCTCACTCCTCGACTAGCATCTCCTGTTGCAAAGGAGCAGAAACAGCTGTTTTCATCTTTTTTTCCACCTCCTCCAAGGTGTGGGGGTGAGGAAATTCACTTTCAACTACCAACCAAGTAGCATCTAGACACTACTAGCATACTTCAGGACAACACTGTTAGTCTGTCAGAAACCTGCTGGGATTTGTCTGCTGGCTCTGTCCCAGTCAGGCTTATGTTTTCTTTTTTATTACCTATCAAAACTTTTACTGAAAGCTTTTCCCTTCAGGCTTTCTAGATAGTTGCCCAAGTCCAAGAACTATGGTGCTGTGCCTGAACCCAGGTGTGGCCACACATGCACCCAAATATCACTAAAGGAAAAGCAAAGTTTACATCTCACAGAATACCAGTCGTGTTTCAGCTCTCTAGAGATTATGAGGAAGATTTCATTGCCTTTGCAATTTCTGTTCCCCAAGATGTCAATATGCCCTCTCAAGGGATCCTTACACCACTCCAAGGCTTATACAGGCAGTGACAAAACAATCAATCAAGGATATAGTTTCAGCATTAGAGAGACCACCTTAAACAATAAAGACCACATCATGATGTTCAACAGAACCCCAACAAAACCCACTAAGAATATCCAAAAATGCTTATACACCATAATTCTACCGTATCCAAAAACTGACTCCCAAATGTAAAGTCACAGAGAAAAGAGTTTAATATTGACCAAAAAAAAAAAAAAGCTTAAGTTAGTGGTATTTTCTTCCTTGAAATAACATACTGGTCATATGAAAGTCACTGAAGAGGTCTGCTTTTAGCTCGGAAGACTTTTACAGTTACAGCTGAATTCAGAAACCCTAATTCCAGAGCTGTGATGTCAACACAAAACCCAAAAACTTAAGACCTGGGATAAACAACAAATTCAGTTGTTAAGATTCTAGCAGTTACACGAGGCCTTTCAGTGCCTTTCCCATAATATGAAAAGTTCTTCAGTATCTTTCCCACCGTCATTATTTCAAGATTCAAAGTTTTTTAAAACACTAACGGGGTTAAACTGAAACCAAGCGCCATATGCTTGTAATGTCTTCTGTGAAGGTCTGAAGCCACCCTGTTTCAACTATTTGGTTATTCAGTGCAGAAAGTTAAAGACCACAGAAGGTATAACAGCTTTTAATACTCCATTAATATTATAGATTAAAAATTATTGCATAGTCTTATGCATTTCCTAAAACAGCGTTCTCTGGAAATTAAACATTTTAATATAAAAGGAGCAACTCTTTAAAACACGAATTGCTTTCACTACCTCGATCTTCTATCCTTTTTTGATTTGTCAGTACATTTGTCCATCGTTTTCTCGTTGTCCCCTCTGCACTTGGGGCAATACCATTTCCCCTTTGGTTTGTAGGTGAGTCCAACACACGAAAAGTGGAACCACTCGATAGGACACTGTTCGTTATCGCACCCTATCATTTCGCCATAAGACACTTGGTTGCATAAGCAGTAAGTCGGTTCATTGGGATCAATTGCAAATTCTACAGGTGAAACCTCTCTCTCTTGTTTGGCTTTGGAGCGTTTTTTCTTCTTGGCAGATTTAGATCTTTTTTCTTTAGGCGGCTGATCGTCGCAGTCATCGATACCATTTGCTATATGGCACAGATCGCGGCTTTCGCTGGTTCGCTGGCGACGAGGTCTACGCGAAGATCTCTCTGGCTGGCAGGACTCCATCTTTGCCTTTTCTAGAGGCTTTTCGTTCTCAGACAGATCTTGAAAACACTGAGAGTGTGTTTCCATTTGCCGGGCTCTATTCTCTACCAGTTCTAGCATCTGAGTAACTATTTGAATTTTTTCATCTCCAAGTTCTTGGCTGTTGATTAAAGCGCGCTGAAGATGCTGCTGCAAGCGTTTCTTCTGAACAGGATCATTTTCTGACTTGTATTTTTCATAGACATCATCTATTTCTTTTAACGCTTCTATAAAATAAAGATAATAGGAATAATTACACGAGATGGAACACACTCAAGAAAATATAGAAATGTATTTCTAACCAAGGGGAAATTGTAAAAACTTTAATTATAGTAAACCCTGGTGGGCTAGATCGGATACTTTATTCAAGTTGCATGTGGTCATCAAGTCAGCATTCAAGATCACAATCTGCTGCAAGAAAAAATTCTCAAGTTCTAAGAAAAATCGAGCTTATTTTAGCCATTGGAAAAAGAAAGGATAACCCAAGAAAGGGGACCATAGCTGCTGCAGCGTGGGTAGTCCAGATCCTGCCTCCATCTGAAAAAGCAGGAATTTCCATTGAGAGTCCTCGTCACAGTAGTTCGAAAACCCTGGCCTACAAACCAAAGCAATAGCTTACTGTATCATCTGCAGGAAGAAATGCAGAATTCATGTAATCAGTCTATATCGTGATATACAACACTCCAGAATTAGGATATCCAGGTCTTCTGCCTTTCTCTGCTTACTCACCTGAAGGTTTGGTATTACACTCTCAAGCAGACGTAGTTATAAGAGGAGTGTGACAACTGAAGTTACACAACAGCAAATTCACAGTCAGGATTTAAACTACTCAAAATGCTTTTCCTATTACCCAGACACATTACAGCAAGCTGCATTTTAAATCAAGGCTGAACTTTTCAGAATAGGTGACCTACTGTTTAGTACATCATAGGGTATTTTTAAGCAACTAGTAATGAGCGGCTCACAGCTTGACTTCTAAGCTTTTCTTCTTGCAAGTCATGCAAAATAACTGGATGAGTGGCTGTGAATCTTTCATAAAATTTCATTCTTAGAGGCAAGTTTAATGAACCCAAATACGAGATTAGCAAATGCCGTATAAGCCAGTCTTGGCCTGTACTCTATTGTTCTATATTGCTGGATTTTAAAACAGTACTTTCCAGACCAAAGGTTACACTAGATCTACACATAAAAGACAGAAATTGCCAACGTGGAAGGGAACAGATCAGTAGAACTGACAGTGAAACCTGATGCACAGTGTTAGATACAGTACTGGCTCCTTCAGACACAACCGAAGGATTTTATTTCGACAGGCAAGAGAATTTATGAATGATACTAGACTGTTTACTTCTAAAGCGAGAAGATAAGCACTACAATCCATCTCTTCCTAAAGAACTGCGTTTCACAAACTGGGTTTCATTTCTGGAGAATTTGTCTGCATTGTACAGTTGTGAAATGATTCGAGCTTGTGCTAAATGGAAGCCGTAGATATTATGGTAACATTGTTCGCAGTGATTTTTTTTTCTGCTGACATCTTGAAACAGTAGCTTAAGCGTGAACAGCCACTTTTTACTATAAATTCCAAAACCTGTATGACAACAGGAGCCAGCAGCATTTTGCTCTGTTCCAGGCTTTCACTAGGGGAAGATGAAAATCACTACTCGGCCTGTCCAATAACTCAGTATTTTTTTCTCCATAGTAGCATTCCAGCTACCATTAAAAACACAAGCTTTGTTTCCCTGCATCTTCAGCTATATCTCTTGCCTGTTGCCCTGACAGAGGTGGGGGGGGAATAAAAATATCTTACTCCCTGCTCCTAAAAAGCACGGAGTAAGGTATTTTGTAGGCTGTTGAGCTAGAAAGGCATGACCAGAGCACAGTGCTCTGCAGCCACATTATCTCCCACCCAGACTTTTTCTATAAGCTGGGGGGGAGCATAGGTGTAGTTACACAGATTTCCCATATTGGGAATGCCCTGCCCAGAGCCACCCACAAGCAGTAACTGCTTTTTTACACGGTGACAGAACAACATTCACCCTGCGTTGAGGACTGCCTGGATGCAGCCTGTGAAGATATACCAAACACTTTAAATAAATCACCATCCACTAAAAAGAGCAAATCACTTTTGGATTGAGAGATGCAAGTTCACCAAACGCTTTCTTGGTCCCTAAGATTATAGAAGGCATCCATACATCCAACTAAGCTCTGAAACCGCTGTTTAAAAAAAAAAATAAGATAAAAAACTCAAACATAACACAAACCCGGGCCAAGCATTCGTTACAGACAATCTGATTAAGTTTGGTGGAGCTAATAAAAGCTAAAAGGATTTCGGTTTTCTGAGCACAGGGGTGGCCTTGTCTCTCCCCCGTGAGCCATCGCTACCTTTTAAACCGGCCGAAATCGCACGGCGCTGCTTTCGCGTCTTCAGACTCGGGCCTGAAGCGTGACCGCATTTTTTAGGGGGTGGGGATGTTTATAACAGCTGAAGACTTCGGTAAAGCCAGCAGCGAGCCCCCGCTCTGGCCTGGCACGGCAGCGGCGGCCGGAGGAA